TAGGCTTCGGTCTGGGGTCATCTGAACCCAGCTCTCTTTCCTGCCTATGCAGGGGGTCGGACTCGATGATCTGTTGCGGTCCCTTCCGACCCTAACATCTATGAACAGCGTGTGCTCCAAGCACGGCCACAGGTCTCAGCGCAGTGAACTACTGACAAACCGCTGGCTGAAGACTTGATTGGATCAGCTGCACCCAGACTTGGGCACCAACCAGCAGAAGAAATCCAGGTGTCTATGAAACAGGCTGATTCACCTGCATGGAATGACAAGTAAGTGCTGTAGTGAAGCATGGCCCATCTGCGCTAGGCTCCCAAATGGGTGTCATGTGTTTGCCCTACTGCACTGCCAGGCATGGGCCAATAAACGCTCTCGCAGGCCTGCTTCTTGGAGGGCGCCCAGCACTGCCCCAGTATGGTGACATGACTTTTGGCCGAGCAAGCAGGCCGCACGTCTGCTGCGCTCCCCAGCCCAGTCCCTTGATGGTGTAACATGCCCAAAGCATCACCTGGATAACCCTCGCCAGAGCCTCTGGGCTGTCACAGCCATGCAATTGTGCTGGACCCCATTATGGTGGGACACAGCAGCAAATTGTTCTGCCAGCTTGCCCCGGTACTGGGTGCATGTGTGCAACAGGGGGAGGGGAATTCTGGCCCGCTGTCCCCCGCCTCCGCGCCCCCCGCTCCCAGCCGGGCACTGAAACACTACAGGAACAAGAAGGACATTGAGCCCTGTGCCCAAACAGGGGTGAGGATTGTTCCCGTTGGAGTCCGGCAGCTCTAGCAATTAGCATAACTATCCAGAGAATGTGAGTAAATATAGATGTGCATAGCAAGGCCAAGCAGAGCAGATGAATAATATTTAGAGAAGACTGAAGAAAGAGTTGCATCAACAAATCCTGCCTGTCGCACACCGTGGCAGCTGGGTGAGCTGGGAGGAGTTTGCCAAATAGGCACCGAAAGCCCCAGGGCTTGAGAGCTGGCAATTACCATCAGTTCACCTGTTTGCACGCTTCTGGCTTGTAGCAGCATGCTGGTGCGCCTGTGTCTCAGCAGAGCTCGTGCGGGCCCTGACCGCTGGGCGTCTCTTCTGTTCTGTTCTGCTCTGGCGCTTGACCTGCTGATAAGTTGCTGCTGCTGGCTGACAGTGGCTGGACCCCATCCTTGACATGGGGTAAATGAAGGCAGGCGTCTTGCTCAGAGATCTGCTCTCCACCTGCCATGGATCTCTGAGCCAGTAGCGTCACCTCTGTAGCAGAGAGCGGCTCCTTCCAGGGCAGGGATCCCTGGGGGACGTTCTCTGGCCTGTATGGAAGCATCCCGGTAGCCCTCCTCCACCTGCCAGGGAGAGCGTTTGCTCCTGACCCGGGATGGGAGCCAGGCTGTGCTGGTGCCCAGGCCCAGGGTTCACCCTCCTCTACTCCGTGCTTACTAGTGCACTGGCTCCACAGTGACTTGGAGTAGCAGGCCAGGACGTGTCAGGTCAGCTTCTGGGATGTGTGTGGGGGGACAGGCTGTGGAAGTGGCTTCTTCCTTTGCTGGCTCTAAAAAAAAATTCTGGGCACCCCTTAGGCCAGGGTGGGCAAAATGTGGCCCATGGGCTGGATGCGGCTTGCCAGACCATCCTATCCGGCCCACGAAGTCCCTAAAAAATTTAGAAAATTAATATTATCTGCCCCGGCAAACTGTCATGCAGCCTTTGATGGCTTGCCAAAACTTAGGAAGCGGCCCTCTGCCCAAAATAATTGCCCACCCCATCTTAGGCAAACACCTGGGTCGCACTCAGCCCTGCCACAGGCAGTGGAGCATTCCCCACCCAGTGCACAACCATCACTCAGGTCGGGCTCAAACCTTCTCCGTGGCCGGCCGGGAGAGCTAGACCCTTCCCTCTGTACAAGCACAAGTTGTGCTGAGGAGGGGTGCCCTTTGCAGGCCGTTAGCTCACGGGGAGCACAGGGCCCTGGCATGGGCAGGCAGGA